TTCGTTTGAAATGAGGTCAGTAACACATTTGGGCTACAGTTAGCCAACAAAATAGGTGTCTCCTTAAAATACGCCCTCCCCTATCCATGGCACTTTCTCGCATTCTCTAACCGGCGACACCTCGTTCCAGCATTAATGGTAAACCAAGCAGCCATGTAGTTAGAATAAATTAACTCGGAAATGCTTTTGCTCCTTTGGATGTGTCATAGAGTCACCTTTGGCAGCACTGTCTTCTTCAATCAAATGAAGGCTGGCACGCATCTGGCTTCTGTGCGACCTTTCAAGTCTCACTTATGGCGTCCCTCTCCCCTTCCACCTCTTCCCTGAGATATTCGCCGAAAGGGCTCAGCAGTTGTTCTACGGTAATATAACACTAGCTCAAAAAAGACCCCCATAACTTTCCAAGAGTACCTGTGTTATGATATATTTCATTTCAGATTATGGGAATTTCTCTAATCTCCGTTTAACTTCTACGCCGTTTCTCCTGACTTAATGCATATTAACTATTCTAATTAGAAGTTGTTGTGTAGTCATTTTATTACAATTCTCCTAGAGAAGGTCAAAGTAAAAAAAAATTGTTGGGCGGAATTAAAATTAAATAATGACGGCGAGTTTCTTACTGAGCTGGATGTAGCACCGCAGCCGTTGAGTCACCAGCCGAGCCTCTGTATCCTCCAATCAAAAGCTGGTACTTATTAGCTTCGTCTGCCACCTTAAGGTCCATAGCGATATACAGCACCTCCGTTTTTCTTTCAGATTTGGAGAAAAGAGAGTTAATTCTTACGCCGCTTCGCCTGTTAGTTTTTTTGCCAACGAGATTGTTTAAGGTGTGGCAAAATATTGAAATGTCTCCCTGAAATGGCGAGTCAACCACGCTTTAAAGCATAGCAGAGGGAGTTTTTCTTTATGCAACAAGTAACCTACAGCGTTAAAAATGTCATAAAAAAATTAACTCATGCGACAGCCGTGTGTTCATCAAGATATGAGGCGCTTGTTAAGTTTTGGGAGCACTCAAGACACAAGAGTCGCATCCCTCGTGCTTTTCAAACTTCCCGCTTGCTCCATATCTTCAGGAAGCAATTTCAGTGTGCTGCTGTCAATTACCATATTTCAATCAGTTAGTGGCCATTAAGTTCTACCTTCAGTGCAGAAAACAAACATACCATTCTCGACAATGGAAAGCTGCAGCCTCATTTTTTAAAGGTAATAGAAGGAGATTACATCTTTCTTGAAACGCAAGCATGTGTTTAAGGAAATCTGAAAAAAAAATAGAAATTACGTTTAAAATCAGGACACATTTTATTCCCAGTTATCATATATTGATTAGT